ACCAAGATGACAATGAAATCGAGTAGATGACTACAATACTATGGAAAGAAACGGTCGAAAGACGTGATTCACTCAACCATTCGACGCTGTCTGAACTGAGTGCAAGACGTTAAATATTCCAAAATAGGGGCGAGTCGACCCGATCCACGGAGTGGGTGGGCTACCCTAAATCCCACACGCTCCGACACTCAGCCGGCAACAATAACAGCAATAAGAATGATAATTTCAACTGAATGGATGTCCATGTACAAGGGCTGTCAAAGAGAGCTTATTGTTCGACCGAAGCAAAATGCGTAAAACATATCGCTCATCTCTCAGTTCGCGATGGTCTACCTGCGAGGAAAAGAAAGCGAATCGGAATAATAGCAAATAGTGTGCTCCGAGAAAACCACAAACCGGTATAACTATGACTGGCCTACATAAACTCGCTGGCCAAGATTCGACCTGGTGAAGATCGTACGTTCATTCGCCAGATACAGTAAACACTACCAACACCGTATCTATGATTTTACTAGACACCTTTCTCGTGGGCTCATTTTTCTCATGCCTATAACACCTCCCGTACGTACTACCCATTCTAACTACATTCATGAGAATGTACAGATGTTTTGTTCTGCACGTCTATATCTACAGAGTTTGTCCTCTCACCGTGACTACACGATTGCTCAGTGTTGCTTTTGAATGAGATAAGGCTTGAATAAGATAGATAAAACCAAAATCTCAGTAACAATTCACATAATAACTTCTTCTTTATAATACTTAGAGCATTTAAACTATTTTGGTTGCTCGCTGTAACGAAATGTTTGCCATTGAAACGTAGTCTTGTAAATGGCCCGTTATTGCTTTACTGCGGTTAATATCACAAGCCGCTATTTGAACCCCGTTTCGAAGCAAGCGCAGCGCCACCAACGCAAAATTACAATCAACTTGGGCCCTCGGAACTTATCCTTTTAGCGCTTAAGTCAGCCAGGCGGATTTTGTTGAGTCACAGAATGGCTATTATTGTTATCAATAGACACCTTCGAAGGCATCGTGTTATCGTACGTTAACTAAATGCCCGAAGCGCGCAGATCTTCGAGCTGAGCAGACAGCTATTCTACTTTGAAATTTTTTACGTAATATCCTTCTCTATAATGCAGCTATCTTCATTGAAGTAACGAAGAGTAGCCAAACAAGTGAGTGGCTTTATTGAACCGTAGTGAAGAAAGAATTCAGGCTATTTCAAAGCTGCACCGTATTAATTTGTCTGTCTAACCAGATCTGTGAGTGTATTCTCATGTAATGTATCTCAGATTTTTTTCGAAATAAAACACACTATTAATATAAGTTAGACTTTCAAGTCTCGCACTTCTCAATGGCTCCGCCTCAACGTAACAAGCAACGTAAACTAGCTTTTTGTAGACGTCTTAGCAGCTTCGACTGTTTAGCACGTAAGAACTATTGCACGAACGTCAATATTGTGCTCTAATAATAGATGACATCGTCAAATCAGGTTAATCTACCTCGTTGTCGTCGTCGTCGTCGTGTTAGTGGATGAAGCCTCATCCGATGAAGCAGACGAATTCTCAGTAGACAAGACTCAACTGCGAGGCAGAAAAATTGCCTCGTCCCACCAAATAAGTTAAACAAGCACCATTCGGTAATTCAAATGATCGTAAATCTTCAATTCGATAAATTCTAACGGGCATAGTCGTTTCTGAATGCAGACTGAGCTGTTTTTTACAGACTAGGATTATCAGGGATCGAGTTGACTAACATCTCGACCCAAACATACCCTACGGGGGCTCGAACTGAATATGACATTGTTACTTGCCGTTTGAACGCCGTCGGTACTAGTTAAAACAGCGTATTGAAGTTGCGAATTAAAGAAACGAAAGACTACAAGTTATTATTGAAGCACTACCTCAATGTAGGGTTGAGGAAAACAATGACCCGACGTTTTGCTGGTTCGGCCTTAAATAATTGCACCGTTTAGTTAGAGGACGGCGCAACAAGTAGCTCGCAATCGAGTAATGATCCATTGCTATTGTAGGAGTTTGCGCACATTTCGTTACTATATGAGCAATATTCTCAGTGATTTGCTATTGTACGTAATTATCCGACTTCAGCGGTCACGCTCAATACTCATTGCATCGTGTAACGGCAATGGACAACATTAATCGGCATTACAGAGCATGGCTGGCCGGCAGTCAAACGTACCCAATGGCAACCGTCATTTTCATCCGCCCGCGTTCTATCTTAACAATACCTCATATACACTATGAAGATCAATGTTATTTCAGATTATGAGTAAAATTAAAAAAGAACATCGTTATTAACTACATTAATCTTGATATTACGGCTCCAAGCCAAAACGAGCGTCACGTCGGGAAGGGTCTCATGGCGAGGGCCTGATACGGCGGTTTGTAGAGTATTATAATAACGGATACATAAATATGAGCGTACGACCTGATCGCCATAAGCGAAGAACTTTGTGAAAGATCGTTGGATAAACCTAAGTGAACCGGAATAGCAGACGACACCCGAATATGGTATGACAATATACGAAATTAATTACTATTATTTATTGACTTTTTAATCAAGCTATCATAATTCAGGCTGAAAGATAGGACGTGACGTGAGAGTCAAAGCAAGATACATTGAATTACTTGTAAAGGTAAATACTCTATAGACGAGATCAAATATTTTCTGTTACGCTTGATATCTGTTACATGCTCGATACTTTATATATATATATATATATTTAAGGATTTTTGTATGCAGGAAAACAAAACACTTCCTCATTTTACACAGTCAGTTGCAATCAATGGTCCGTTCACGTCCAATTGTAAGCGTAATATTAAAGAATCTCGATGAACATTAGTTAATGAACATTAACTATGAACGTGGGGTTGAAATCCAAAGTCTATATGTAGAATGAACTTTTGCATTTGGTCCGATAACAAGCGATGCCAGAAAGACGGAGACATAGATAAACTGTGGCTATCTCGTTTTTAGACGAAACATGTTCGACTTAGCAGACTACTGCTACCAATCTCTAAAAATCACTTGCATACGAAGCAAGGGTAATCGAACCTTAAGTCCTTTTTGAAGTTTCGAACATTCTGAAGTTAACATCTATGTAACTTATGTATATATAATTCAGTTCAAGTCGGTTATAGGGCATAAGGCTTACCGGTCCTTGAACGAGCCTAATGACTCACACCAAAACTCATTAGTTAATGGGTGTAGATATTTTCATACGTGGGTTTGGTGGGTAATGAATATGTGGACCAACGAAGTTAGGGAAACTCGTTTCCCACCGATAGGTTATACTTGTTAGGTTTCCCAAACTTCTATAAATCTATGATTCTTTAAGTTAAAGTAAAACGAGATACAATGTGTAGAATTATGATGTGTAAACAACGACAGGGTGCCCGATCTTAGGCTTGAAATGTACAGAGAGCATCATCTTTCTTACGTATTAATGTGACGATTGGCTTACACTCGTTGAAGTTGAAGTTGAATCCACATGCAACTGGACAATGAATAGTCAATAAGGACAACAAATACAGAACAAGTTTTTTCATAATTAAACACATTCAGTTTCTTGTGACTACATCTCTAAATCGATAGGACTACATTAATCAATGCGTAAGATTGCACTAGTATCTGTATTTCGGTTAGCCATTATCATTTTTCGTTTCAGTGTCTATTCGACTTACTTAACAGAACTGTATTCTTCCTCGGCCCGCCCAAGGCTAAAGCTTTTACAAAGGGACACTTTTTTAGTGGACCCTTTTGTCGCATCAGCTTGTGGCGGTATGTCGCCATTTCGTTCCTTCGCGTCCCTCAATGACCGTCGATGGCGATGACGACGTCCACCATAGGAGGGTTCGGTCCGTCACTGGCGTCTGTGCCTATGCTGAGTGCTTCTAGCCGTCATCGGCGTATCTGTCCTCCACCATTGCCTTCCTCTATGTTTTATTTACAACAGCCGTTTACAACAGGCTTGAGAGCGCTTGTTGCTTTGTTTGTCCGGTAGTAAAAATGTCAATGTTTTTTCGATGATATCTTTCGTTCACCCCCTAAAATAGAGAATTGATCATGTTAAGACGTGCTAGCCCTTCGGGAGCCATCTAGTCGAACTAGCGGTGGCAGCAGTCTGCTACAACTGCCATAACTGATAACATTGCCACAGTCAGTAAAATTAAAAAGACCAACACTGAGTTCCTTGTCGATGAGCCTTTGATTGTTGTTCACGCCGCGCTCTGCGTCCAGTTAATCGAGTCGGACGAAGGCCGAAGGGGGCTCATTAAACTGGATATAATATAGAAAGTGACCATGAGAGCGGAAATTAAGATATATGGTCTTGCATATTCATGATACTGTACATTTCTAAACTAAAAGTCGAAAAAACGTTGACAATGATAAATGAAGTTGATGAAGACTAGACCTGGATCCAACGAACTGTGATGTAAAAATATTCTCATTATAGTATCGTTATATCTCTAACTACTATAATATAGAGAATAGTTAGTAATTGCTAGGGATATTCTTAATTAATTCGTTAGCAAATGAATGTGACGGAATTTACTCTCACTTAACTTACTATAAATTAAAGTGTTGTTAATATTAGTTACTAATTCATTTCTAAGATGCATTTCTTACAACAAACTTTACGTAAAAGCCTTCAGTGTTAAATCTAGAACGAGCGCTGACAGCGTGTACTGATTAAAGACAAAACAGAGTTCCGTGGATTTAAAATAACCCTTGTTTCAATTGGAACCTACATGAAATGTGTTCTCTAAAATTATCTATCGTATTTACGAATAGATCATAAGAGTGAAAATGGTTGGATGTTGACAATCCTGGTAGCCGAAAACAAAAAAGGTACCTCATTTAATAGATAACATACTCCTTTTTTTTTTATAAATTAATTGTTTAACAGTTTTGTCTTTATATAGTAAGATTTGTTCGAATGTGCCGGCAATTAAACTGCTATTATGCATTCATTTCAGTTGCTTTTAATACTGTTTATAATGCCCGGCCTTGTGGCTCTCGCTTTCGATCAAGTTCGGACCTCGTTTACTAGCCCTTATGCTACTTACACAACGGACTATAACCCAGATGGGTCCCACTATCACCCCAGGTAAGCTGCGTAGGCCAGATACACGTCATAAGTTCTGTTCGGTGCCTAAAAACTGTGCAGTACGTTCATGAAGATTAATGGTTGGGGAACGCGAATACTTCTTCGGAGGAAGATTCTTCCTTCAGTAGTTTTATTGAGTTCTATAGCGTTGAACAATGAGTCACACGCCAGCTTTTTTCCAAAACGAACGATACGATAATAACCTATCTTTTTAATTGCTTTCAATGTTGATACGCGAAGGCAAATTTAATTTATATATTGGAAAAACATTCACCTGATAAATATAGCCAACCTTTTTAAGGAGAACTAGTACTATGATACAATATATCTACTGGTAAGTTATATGTACGAATATATATATGGGCTCTAATCGGTTTGCTTCCGGCCTACGAATATGCTGAAATTTCGGTCTTGATTTTTCTCAGTGGTCAATTGTTCACAGAATATGTAGTAGTAACCAAATAGAAGAAATGCTTACGGAAAGCAGCCAAGGAACAACGTTAATTTCTCGTATTAAGACGAGTAGCAGTCCTAAATCTGTACGAAATATGAAATCTTTTAGAGACATGTATAATCGCATGCAACACCGTCTCGACATTATTTTGAAAAAATATTCGTTTTAACGGTACCAATGGACACGACCGTTTTTCCTATGACCGACCGGTGATCCTAGGAGCTTATTCACATATATAACGTAGCAATGTAGTTTTGGTGGAAACGTATTCTACGTGCGTTATCAACTGCAATCATCTGAGCGTACCCTATTTAGGCACGTCACGAATGTTCTCACTAATCTATACACTCACTGTCATGCGTCTTCGAAGTTCGCGCGACTGAAATCAACACGACGTTTGTCAAGCAGTCACTGATAAATTTGACCTGCTGTATACGCCTGTCATACCACCTCAGTGGTGTAAACAACCTTTGTGAGGGATAAGCCATATCGTGTTTTCCCATGTTAAACAGCAAGCACGCTTTTTCTCTTATTGTTCCCGAATTAACAAAGAAATCTGGCAATTTCTCACTTCCTTGAGCATTAGGGCGTGCCGCCTATTTCACTGACACCTAGCGGAAAAGTTCACTTTATCTGACAGCAAGCACTAGAGAGCACCACTCCCCTTGAAGCTGTCCTACTTCCCTTACAGTTAAGTTAACGCGACAGCTACCGCTCGGCTAAGCAGGGCTACCTTAATTTCATTTTCCGCCGTTCCTTTCAACCCAAGTCTCTTGTCGTAAGCAATAACTTAACCGTTACTTCAGCTTCGGCAGTTACCAAAAAAGAGGATCACGACCCGCACAGCAGTAGTTGTAGACAAGCTGCTTTTACCAAATAGGTGGTTGTCAAGCCTAGTTTTTTAGTTGTCGACAAGAAATGACAAGGAGAAAAAAGGATTCTTTCTAAATATTTTGATACTGATCTTTTATGTCTGCTTGCACTTTTTTAAGGTCCTATAGCCTTTGGTAGTTAGAGAAACCACAGAAATAACACCTGCTACTGACGTTAGCAACTATTAATTTCGGCAGAGCGATGACAATGCTCAAAAAAAAAGAAGGATAAAAAACGTATCGAGAATTTGGCTTTATGCCGGCAGCAACTTTCTATATTCCCAAAGTCGCAGTTGTCTCTTTCGAAGTAATTTCCGGCGGATCCGATGTACTTGTGCAACCGTTCTCCCTAATAGCTAAAACAGTTTTCGTACTCCATCGTAGAAATAAAGCTCAGCTTGCTCTCGTTTTTTCGAATATTCTCGGTCTAACTTTTCACGCTTTCTTGAGCTTCGACACTGAAGGAACGATACATAGCACTACATCAGGTTAAGGTAGAGCTTTGCACAACGCAGGCGTTAGGTTTTTCTACAAAAACGCAGGTAACGACCTGACGAATCGGTACATTACAATGAAATGTATACATCCGGCATATTTAGAAAAACGCGCGTCTACTTGGGATGAATTCCTAATCGACAATTTCCCGTTATTTAGTAAAAACAGTTCTGGTTTTTAATCTAGACCTTGTGCATTTCGCTCGAATTTAACACGATATTCAGCCCTTTACGTTTTCGTATTACCTGCATATTTACGTTTTGCACCTGTAATGACCTGTTAAGGCAAATCCTCTTTGAGCAGGCCAAGCTTGTTCTAAGACAGCTGTTGACGGGCCTGCATTTGCTCGAAATTCAGATCCTTCGACACAGTGCGTACTGTGAGCCTTCGTCCTTGTAGATTACTTTTCGAACTGGTCTGGCATTAATCATGTGAGATGTCCAACTCCTCTGCAAGCTTCGTAAAATAAATTTGTCAACGTAAGTAGTCTTGTTTTTTGCACGCTTTGATCCGTACTTGCCGAGACAAGCTGTTTGGTACGTAAATCGCTTTCAGTTGTTTCGACATTTACCAAACTGTTGGTACTAACTGTACACCTAATCAGTAACTTATTCCTAAAAGCTTTTTTGGATAATGGAAACATTTGTGGGAACTTGGCTTTGTTTTGCCACAAAACATAATGCAGGGTCTTTGCTATCCCATTTTTGTTTTCCAAAAAAAAGAAAACAATTCGGCTGAAAATACCTTACCTCAAAGTGGAAAGCAAACGTCAGCATGCCGCCAAATTTGAACGGTGTATAGCAGAGCATTATCCGACTGGGACCCAACAAACTCAGTTCCGGATCGGCGTTTAACCGACAAAAGTCGACCGTTTTATCAATGTTGGAATGTTTCCCCGGCCAAGCTCTGTTTCGTGCGTCACTACGTCGGCTTCAACTGCGCGCCTGTGCTAAACAACTATTATATCATAAGCCCACATATATGCGTCTATGGATATTCGTTAAGGTACAACAAATTTATCAACACAGAAAAACGAATCTGAAGTTAATCTTTGTCACCGGGAGCGGACCCTAATTCTATTCTAATCTTAGTTTACATCATGTTTCTATACCGGGACCCCTTTGAATACAACGCAAGACTTGGAAACGAGGGAGGCTAGAAAACTCTTTTGGTGTTTGTCTCTTTTTTTTTATCTTTTATAATGAGAACAATTAGAGCCATAGCGAGTGAGGAGAAGATGCCTATAAAAAGTATATATAGAAGTTATATACACTTAAAGTTAGCGCTACGGTTATTATGTTAATTATATGAAATCCGTATTCGCGATGATTTCGGTCTCGCTACTATGCTAAATGCATGAACTGCTACCTCTGTAGCCACTAATAATAGAAATAGAATCTCGACATTGTTTACGTATGTCTGCTAGTGCAACTTGAACCAAATTGATTCTGTGTAACAATGAAACATTTTCTTTTACTTATGATTTACGAATAAACAGCGAGCTCGAATAAAAGCACCGCCTCACTTCGCGTTAGACGTAAGGAGGAATTGTGTTGGAAATAGGAAGAAGTCGTCTATGACAAAAATTGTTTGCTACATATATTTGTTTGTCGGGCTAAGAGAGGTTTATCCTAACCCTTTCAGGCATAATGACGCAAGACACGCATATAATCACGCGTATGGTCGTTATGAAGCGTACGCGATTTTGCCTTACGATTTTCGCCACGATCATAGCCGCAGGGCCTATATAGCAAACGGGCACTACCGACCTGAAACAAGCCATAGAAACAACTATCATCGATACGGCGGCTATGGCTATCCTTATAACAACTACTATTACGGGTAATGAAAGCAATTCTTGTTCTTAGATTAGAAAGAAAAAAATTTATCTTTTTTAAGAGAGAGAGGGATAGAGACCTGTCTCTCGCCAACGTCCCGCAACGAGCGGTGCCAAGTGTGATTTACGAAATGTCGTCTTAGATTATTTCGTCGAAGACAACAAACAAAAACGCAAGACAATGCACGTAGGTACGCCTGCATGGGCGATAAACTACATTAAACTCAATACATACGGCGTGTGCTTAGGGAACAAGCAGTTAATGGTATACTATTTCTATAGGTCATATTTTAGGTTTGATAATACGTGAATCCGTTCTTGTTTTATATATATTATATTGTATAGTATATATATATATATATATATATTGTATAATACGTGTCATCGCCCTTGTTATTATCCTCTGTTCGTTTCCAAAAGTATTCAAATTGTGAGGACTATTCCTTTTGTTCGACTCATTTATAACGATCTATACTTACATATGAAAATGGCATTAACAGTATGGAATACAAAGCATAATATACAATGTATGTTATAAAGGTCTATTCGATGAAAGAGATGGCTTTGTTCGGATACTCACAATCGCCAATGAGATAAAAACTCCCCAATAAAACATAACGTCTTCTATAGACACTTATGGCGTCACCATTTGTGTCAATCAAAGAAGATAGTCAGTTAGTTTATAAAGCGAACAATACAGGTTTTAAAATATGCGGCCTTCAGGTATATTTATGGTTAACGATATGTCTGCAGGTATACCCCTTACGGCACTGTTGCACGTTATATTCCGCCGATATTCAACGCTGCGATATCATCACCGCTCACTGCTCGCACAGTTGAAAGCAGCCGAGTTACCACTCAACCTGTGGTAACCATCCCACGCACAAGTCGGAAGTTTGAGGTTCGTTCTGCTACTCCGACTCCGTATCACTTCGTCTATTTGATCAATGGTGCTGATGGTGCCCAGATTCGACAAGAGTCAGGTGAGACAAAAGATCGTATTTCTAGCTAGTTGTAAAATAATACGCGAAGAATTCTTCATATTTACTACAATAGAATAGTTTCGGATCCCTTGGAATCCACTTGAAAGAAGCCTGGTTGTGATGGATATTCTGACCGTGATGAATCGATTGCTGAACCTGCACTTGGCACTAGCTGCGAGATTGTCGTTGGGCTAAGAAAGAAATAACAAAACGAGTCGCTGGCTTTGTTTACGATACCCCAGTTTCGATTACGAACCCGATTGAGACGTCCGCATTTGAGGAACGATGAGACCCCAGAGAGTCCGGCTCTCTTCAGCCTTGAGACGTATATAAGCACATGTACACACATCCGTTTCCCTGCGTCTCACTTCTTCCCGCTGGATAAGACATCTGATGTTTGTGTCGGCTTAATAGTGACGGAGAGAGAAAAACAAAATACGAGTCAAATACATCTATGTACGCGTAAAATGTTTGTAATTAAACATATAGCAACATCATCTTGCGTATCGGTTGTTTTATATCCGTATACGAAACCCTGCAGTCTTGCGTTGCGAAAGTATAATATCCCTGTAAGGATACGAACGGTTTTTAGGTTGCCAGCTTTTCGACGATTAACATAATAGAGACTTTATAGCAGCGTTCGTTTGTTATGCACCCTGCTACGTACTGAAGTATAATCCCGTTAGTCAGCGCAACATTCGCCTTTATCGATGAATAAAAAGTTTACGTGCGCACAAAACTGGTGTTCGGCCGAAGCAATGCCATTGTGTTCCTTGTGTAAGAACTCGGCATATCAAGTCACATTTGATATATATCATTATACTAAATAAAAAAATACTGGCATTTTATTGTTTGCATAAAAATTTCTCTTTGAATTAACTTTAATTACATGTCTCATTGCAATTGGATGATTTTTTAGGAGATGGAGCTAGCCATATAAATGGAGCGTACTCGTTTGTTCTACCTGATGGGCGCCAGCGACGGGTTGAATACGTGGCGGATGAGGATGGGTTTCGAGCCAAGGTAAACCCTCAGTAGCCTACCTGGCCTTTGGCACTTTTTGCAAACCGGCTGTTCTTAGCGGATTTTTCCTCTATGATACTACCGCTCGACAGTGAGTTCTAGCCGGCCTAAACGTTAGTCTACAATGTGGGCCAAACGTAACAGGGATAGAAACCTAATAACTTTAAACTATACCTATTCTGTCCTTTTTTGAAAAACTGACTGATGCGTCAAGAGTCGATGTTAGCACAGCGAAAAACCAACTGATAAAAAAAAAGTTATAGAACAATGCTGCTAGTACTATTATTGCCAAAATCGTTTAGCTCAATTTTCGCGGCAAATTGACCGAGCTGTCGCAGTCAATCCATTTGACATACGAATCGAAGAAAAATATCGAGCGCATTGTTAAAAACGTTCTTTAGGAGTGAATAATTAGTAGTTAGACAGATGAAAATGTCAATCAATTTTCTGCTTGTTCAGTTTCTTGCTGTTTGTATTAGCGCCACTTCATCTGTTCTACACTTATTCTGGCCCGGGGTAGCGTAGAAGCTCAGCATAACGTGAAGTGCGTAAGTGGATTTACGTTGTACTTACATGATAAGGTTGAGTTAATAGGATTTGTCATTGTTCTGAGATAGGGTAATCTCCGCAGAACACGACGTTTTACCCTACGCAGTGGTTTTGAGCCCTGCGTCCAGCTGGGCTGCAGGCTTTGCCGTCGCGGCTACCATCAATGGTACCCTGGCCATCGTTGCTAAAGCTGTCACGGATGTAGTCGTTATGACTTTTTGAGACGTTTATTTCGCTATAGTTAGCTAGCCAGCAAACCAACTGCCTTGGGCCTTCGGTCCAGCCGGGTAAGCGTGTCCTTTAGTTTAATGATTGTTAAGAAACAGTGTGCATAATGCTCAAATTTAAAACAACTCTCTAGAGTGGCTTGCAATAAATTTCTCCGCACTGATTACCTACCAGGCATCAGTGTCTCGCCGGGTATATCTGGCTGCTCGCGTGCATATCGCCAGGCTACACTGCTTGACTGATTAAAACCAAGGCAATAAAAGAAATGGCAAAAATTATTCGGAAGTTACGCTATCGGCTTTATTTTAAGAGTCACCCGCCGTTACTACGAAAACTGAAACTGTACGAAGTCAGAAGATTTTGACATGTGCAGTTAGATACAAAAGTTCAATTTTTGGTGTCTATATAGAGTATAGTTTGGCTGGTTGTTCGTTAGGTGATTCGCTCCTCTCGGCTCTAGAAAAAAAGCCGATTTTGTTCCAGGTAAAAATCACCAACCACCATCATAGAGAAGACAGAGGTTTGGCTTAGATCCGCCTGTTTTCGATCTGAAACCGAGGATTAGTTTTTGTCTAGTCTTTACGTCGGACGAACTCCTATCTAGTTTACAAACGTTCTTCGTTAACGGAAGTCGACGATTCACCACAATGCGATAACGTACGCTGCTGCGGAGAGAACAGAAGCGGGTTCTTTATATGCCATAATGGGAAGAGCAAACTAAGAGACCCGCTACACCAACCTCACAGCTGCCTAAGAGATGCAAAGGTGTATTTTTAGCAATACTGGTATTTTTGGACGCGATTTGATTAGGCAATCGCTCGAATTGTGCACGAAGACCACAGGAACAATTCCCATGCTATTGAAGCCAGGAAAAAGCTCTTTGAGGGCAATGGGGTCGAGAAATTTGACCAATGTTATTAGTTCCCGGGTCTTCTCAAGGCGAGAAGAAGTTCCCTTTAATGCTTTAGTGACGAAAAATCATTCACTGAGGTCGCTCATCCACAATCCGAAAAGTGTACTTATTGTACGTTAAAGTCTACCTGTTCCGTACAATAGGAGTGATGTCGCCATAGTTCTTTTAGGAAAGCTTACCTGTTACAGAGTGCTGCTTATACACTAGAAAGAAATATTTTTCACAAGCTGCGGCAAAGTCTGTATTAAATGGTAGGGCATACGTTTTCCCTTTGCTGGAATAAATTTGCTGCGGTCCGGATTAGAATTCGTCAGACAACTATGCAGGGGGCTTGTTCGCGCAAAGTTCTAAAAGAATCTGAATATGACAGTTTCGTTCGCTGTAGCTAGCAAAAAAGCCTTTCAAAAGACGAATGAACACATTTAGGCACGGAGTTGTGAGCAATTGAGGTTTCATAGGCAGTCGTTATTATGATACACCAAATAAATACATTCTGACTCTATCGAGGGAGGCAATGCGTTTGATTTTCGCTTCGTACTAGAGTGACATCATGCCAATATACAGCGAACTGGCTAAATTTTTTTAAATACACTACCGCTTTACAAGTATGTAAAGCAAGGGGCCAGCGTATATTCCATACTATAGAATGAGAAAACACTCTGAGGAGCATGTCGTTATTAAGAAGCTAACTCGTTTTCGTTATATATGTGTATATACAACTGCCTGCAGGTGGATACGAATGAACCAGGAACTGAAAGTCAAAATCCAGCGGCTGTGCTACTCCGTTCAAATGCCATTCCAGCAGCAGAGGCCGCTATCTTGTCCGATCTATACAGCTATCGCTACAAACGACAGTAGCCTCAGTAACACAAATCGATTTATTGTTTTTCAGTCACTGAGCTATTTTTGCTAAATCCCGCTCGTATGAAGTTCTACTTCATCTGTACTGGTTGCACTTAGGCATGCGATATGCTCCGAACACCTTCATTCAGTCAGTTAGTTAGTATACGATATATACTATACCATCTATATAAAGAGAACACATACATACATTTTCCACTAGGTAATGCTAGGATCGTAGTGAACGAGGGCAGTGTGAACAATTAATAATGGGTCGTATGTTGTTATAACGCGCCTTTAAAAGTTCTACGCGAAAACAAAAAAAAAAGGCATCTAAATGCCGACGAAATGGAGAAGCGCCGGAAGCGTTTTTGCCTTATAATTGGTCATATGTTCTACAAGTTTTAAATTGCAGTCCCTAGCGTAGCATACAGTACTTTGATATATACTGTTTTGGGCCTTGGGTGAAAATATGGAGAGTAAGGGTACAGAATAAGTCGGTTTTTGTTAAAGGGAGTCAGCATGCGAAGTACGAAGACAAGGCACATCCCTAACGTTATCAGTATATAGGGCCTGAACTTTGTACGAGGCATTAGATCAAATAAGCGCTAAATAATAATACTCCGTCGAAAGCGTTTTCATTTTGCGTTCCCACGAAAAATTTAGTGTTAAACATCCCATTCACTGATACTGCCGAAACTATTTTTATCGTAAGGCCACTTTCCCTAAAAGGTTGTTCTTAAAACACCAATAGATTGGCGCTATATAGGAATGTTTATTGAACCCGATGGATATTGTCAAATACGTTTATTAACTAGTGAATAAACAAATGAGTTGTGTACGAAAAAAAATTCTACCTATATTTTCCATCAAGTCATCACTTGCCCAATGTATGTCAGTGGCACAAGTAAAAAAAGTATGACATCATTAGGAGGGTGCTCTTACTTGAAAATCCCAACTGATGTACCGTCGATTTAATTCGAAATTTGCCGCCTACCAACAAATAACGCGGTCAATGTAAATGCGTACGCCAGCTAAAATCTGCTATCGAAGATAAAACGGCATAAACGTCGTACATCACAGTCAAATCAATTCATACGAGCGATCTTTACGTCGTTGTCCATGCCAAATTTCAACTATTTATTTAACATAACTATTTATCGTTAGAAGTCGAGAAAAGCCAATTTCAATAACAATCTAATAGCCGCTTGACCGTTTATTCGCAAGCACTACTTGTGATAGTTATTTATCAAGTATCGGTAGAGTATCGGCTCCGTCAGACAGATATTTGTCGTGCAGAAAAATAGCCGAGACGCTGTTCTAATGCTGGTACATTAAACGCTTGTTACAGTAGCAATTTCAACGATTGTGATTTGGGCCCGAAATTTGTCGACATTACAGGTGCTAGGGTTGTTAGAAACTGGGTTTTCTAATTAAATGTCCTAAGTAAATAGACGTAAAACGATACCGTTCGTGTTCAGTTCCTATTAGGTTAATTTGGCCCAGTATATATATATATATATATACATAATATTCAAAACGTATGAGTGTTTATGGTATAAACATTACACGACTATTATTTAAGCTTATGATGCCTTACACTGCTTTAGTAGGTAAATCCCCGTTGTCAACTGGACGAGAGTATGCTTATAAATGTAACTTGATGAGTTTGCTTCATCTAAGTTAAAAAGCATCCAGTAGCCCGATTTAAGTATCGTTTTATTTACTTTAATTATTAATTATGCTTTGAGTAGTGCTGTTTCTGCACAATCAGGCCCAATAGAGGGACACACTGTAATAAGAAGTTACGCAGTAAACGAGCTAAATAAATCAACAACGATGCTTCAAGATTTACGTTGCGCCTTCTGCAGGGGATGCATACACTGTGCAATGGTTTGTTTTTGTAACAAACGTATTGCATGCAATTCAGTAAGCCATTTTCTTTGCTGTTGTCATTTTTCGACTTGACCGCCTTTCGTATTGACGATTTGGCCTTGTTTCATTATGCATTTCTATATAAAATGACTCTAGCTACTCCCATAATTGAACACTGTCCAAAAGGGTAAGTGGCAGCCGACATTTATCAGTAGAATATTTTTTACCTTATTATACATGTATATGTAACGTTACGATATAAACTTTAAAGCTGTTTAAGAAATGTTCAATTTGGACATACATACATACATGCATAGATGCAAACGATTGTCGCGGACTAGCTTTCTTCTTCATCAACAAAGCGTAAAGCGTTTTCATACTGAGGAATTATAGTGAAAAACAAAGAAACAATCGAAGTTTGTGTGTGTCAAAAAGACTCTAGCAGGGCAAGTTGAGGCATTCCAGATCTAGGGTCTGTCAGGGAAACACTTATGTCCTAGATCATACATGTGAATCTGATCTCTGGCTGCGTATTGCTTGGCTGGCATAGCCTGATATACTGTTGGTCGACGAATCAGTCTATTTCACCACGTATATATGGATCAGGTTGGAAAACGTGCGAGTAAATTCACAATTCACTTTATTATAACTAAGTAATTTCTGGAAATAAATATGTATGTTATCCGTACAAATAGCAGTGGATTATTTTTCAGAAACATTAGTTGTGATGTATCTACAAACGAAGCCGGTTTCCGGTTAAAACTCATACAGAAAAATTAAAACGATTATTGTAAAATTTACTTAAGGACTTCAAATAAATGTTTCGAGTTTTACGCGCAAAACTGCAACTAACGATCACTTCATACGAGCCCTTGACATCAGGTTCGTTCTCATGCTTCTTACTGTTGTGACGACGATAATTATGTACCCGTCTGCTCGTGATGACAATAAACCCGTTGAGCACAAAAAAATCTGAAAAGTAATACAAAACACGAGGTCGTTTCTTGAAGTGACTCCAAAGTATTCTAATTGTTAGATATGAGGAAGACTTGCATAGTAGCCCTCTAGTGCGCATGCGCTGATGGTCATGTTTACGTCGTGCTGCCGACGGAATGTATACATGACGAGTAGGGATATCCACTACGGGTATAATTGGAGGAGGAGTCAAGTTCTTCTGATATATCTCCAGCGGGTAGTTTCACCACTGCAGGTTCTCAGGTTTGTTCGAAGGTAGGCAAAGGTAGAAATAACAGGTAATAAACAAACAGTAGGTAGATAAGGCTACGGGCAATCATTAGACGGGCAGTTCAAAAACAATGAACGTTCTCTAAGTAGGACTACGTAGAGCTCCGAAAGCAGCTTCAAAGATCTATCGCAACGTTGATCACGATGCTCGTGGATGGAAAATCATATGATTTGTTAAAAAACGACTGTGAAACTTCTGTGCTCTATCTTATCATGATCATGCGTTTGTAACTTTTATCAGACAAGACAAAAGTTGAAAAAATCGCACAGGTGCGCGTATTGCATTATGAATCCATAATCGAAATGCGCAATAATTCAAGCAGCTTCTTCATTGATCCGAGCATTTACAGATCCTGGGCTAATGTATCAAGGCCGCCATACGATGACAACGCATCCTTTGTTAACAGCTACGATATACCGCTCTACAGAAATAATCAGATAGTAATTTATTTCTAAATGAAGCATTGGCATATTTGAAGTTCTGTGTTTAGCTTTGATTAGTGTTGGAAAGTTACCCTCGGAGCATTTGTTTCGCCCATGAGTCATATCACGTCGGGCAGTGGAACGTGATCGCTTTGACCATCATTTGTCAATGGCTTTTTGTTCACATAGAGCTTTAAGACGTTGACGCTACGCGGTGGTGAGCGGGGTCGCACATTTCAGTTCTCATAATTGTTTAGCAGTCATTTTGTACGCTAAGCCTTACCTCTGCAGAAACCATGGACTTTCACCGTATTCAAATAGCGCAATTGAACACTTGTGGAATCTTTAGAAATGCTTGATTGCCTTATGTGTTAGCCATATCGTACGTAATGTAAAATATACATATATACGTATATATGCACACACATAATAAAAAAAATATATATATATATATATATAAATTTCGAAGGGGCCTTGGTATAACCTAAGTTAACAGGACGCCACTAGGAAAATGATGTTGCAGTTCTGTCTTACTTCAAATCCAACATACAAGACTTCAAACTTTAGAATTATGTATTCTATTACTATACATACAATGCAGGTGTTTTTACTGGCAGAATAGAGCAGAATGTCGCACCATTGTCGTTTTTAACATTAATTACAAGTGGCCTCATTTGCATGTTTATTTCCTTGTATGTTGGAAACTTGAAAATAAATACTGTTCGTTACAGTCCAAGATGGATTTCATATTTTCTACTAATTTGGTTAAACCGTAACTTTAAAATGCTGTTTGGGAAAACTCGCGCTGATCCAAAACGGAAACGATTTCAAAAGGAAACGTTCAATAAATCATTCTAATGGCTGGTGCCCCTTTAAACTATACGTGTAATTTACATGAAATATATTGTGGACATTGTTTTTTCAAATTCAGATTTGTTAGTTGTGCCGATCGGAGTGTTGTGGAAAATTATCGCCGTTCTCTAATATGCCAGTACTTTTTCTAGGTCAATAGGCCCCTGTACGTTATTGCGGACGTTCTGATAGAGGAAGTTATTTTGCGAGAAAGCGAAAGAAGCTTGCTTTCGAATTCAACAGAAACGCGACATATGTCCAAGGGGCGTTTAAAAAATTACTATTGCAATTAAAAATTTGTCACCGTATTGATTTTACAAATTGTTTACAGATAGTGGTAATATTTAGAATGGTGAAAATGACAGCTTGGGATTGTTTGTCTAGATCAGTGGCAGTCAATCAGGTGCAGAAACGCAAAACACTAACTATATAAATCTAGTATAAATATATACGCAGAATCTGTACGTGGCAAATTGTGCGACGACCAACCTGTCCTATTTCTATTCGTTTCATTCATTGCTGAACTTCATCGTCACAGACACCGTTCGTCGCAATGCAATGGCTCATGTGCTATGGCTATACTATTACATCGTTTAGGCAAACTCGGTGCTCAGCTGTTTCCGCTCAATTCCCCAAAGTGGTACTGCCTGAATCTAAACCATTGGTCACTAGGATCGCCGTTTCTTCAGCTGGACAAGCGGCCATTTAAGCTGGAGTTCGATTCACTCAGACACCCAGTTGGGTGATGGTCGCGAGCATGCGATCGAGCGCATGGCCGACGAGGTTAACGAAAGCTCAAACATATGAGTTTGGTGTCGGAAGCCAGAATCCTGGCTGGGTATCCTTTTCCGTTCGTCAGCCAGTCAGGCAAAGGAGGGGCCGTTGTGTCCTACGATTTTTCCAATTTCAAACAATACGGGCCAGCCTACCGTAGGATTCGAACGGAGATCTAATCCGATTACTACCAGTTCCAGAGCAAAGCTATATTTATTACGCAGAAGTAGCCCGATTCGTATGGATGAGCTATCAATTTGACTTCAGAAGAACGTAATGTAGCTTCTCTTACATACTTAACACTGTTGTGTTTAAAAACCCTACACATCCAGTGATGCCTTTCGCATGTACGTGATTATTCGCTAAAACACTTCTCATATTTTCAGATCGGCACTGATACGTTTCTAGGGAAGTTATCGGCGCTGCTTTGGTACGCATTAAAGCTAAAACAAATCTTCGATTTCTCTTCAGTATACTTTGCCAAAATAAGATTAGAAAACATTTGGAGACAAATGGCCGTTTAGGCATACATCTGTTCAATTCTGCTGAAGAAACTAAGCAAAAGTCAAATATTTTTATTGTAGATTAGTTTGTTCGGTTGAACAGACATCTCTGTGCTAGTAGATACAAATATAATTATATTTCTAGACTAAATCTATTTTGGATAATTTAGTTATGTTTGTAATACCCCGCGTCTCTAGCAGGCCTTAATGCTAAATACTGTTCACATTAAAGGCCCACAGTAAGAAAGAGTTTTCTCAGAGTGAGCAAAGTATCCGGCTATTGTCAGGTGTATCCTCTTAGATCCTGCGCCAGTCCTTACATTGACAACGTATTATAATAGCATGCCGAAAGTTAGCCTTTAATACATTCAAGGATCGCTCACCTGGATACAAGAATGTGTGCCAGCCAAGACCCTGCTTTGCTTAACTACATACGCCATATTATAAGAAGTATTATAAAATATATAAATTTTCATTAAATAAATTTTTGATAAATATATATCAGCGCAAATAACGTTATCCGTAAATAGGCGTTCTATCAAAAAAAATAAACATTCTTATAAGCAAAAGTTCAAAGTACATACTCTCTAAGAAGAGCAATTACATTGTACCGTTTGGTGGTAATTTGGGAAAAAACAAGAAGCAAACTGGTGGATGAAAAATGTGGACAAAAGGCAGTCTTTTAGGCATCCTTCAGTATATTTCGCTCTGTTAAAGAAGGCATAGCCAAATTCTCTATCGATTATCCCATACGCTGTGCAACTTAATTGACCAGCTGTAGCACTCTTCACAATAAACCTACATAGATCATCATCATCATTTTCTATTATGCAATAGTGAGGGTCATTTGGTAGAAATTCATCGACAAACCTTAGAAAACGAAAATATAGACACGTAACTATAAGGTTAGAACGACTTCCAATAGCAGAAGAGAGCCTAAAAAGCCTATTACAGTATATAAGTTGATGTATATTTATACGAATATAGCGCAAGGGTCCGCTCATGAAAGCTTGCTTTATTAAAACCTTAAGGCGTACACAGATTAGAGGATGTATATGTTACTGATCTACCTATTATTATTATTAACGTAAACACACTTTAATTAATACGTGGGGCATTACACGAGGATCTAAGTAGACTTGCTACTGTTTCATTATGTTATCAGGTCACGTAGGGCATCTTTCTGCATAAACACGCCGTCCATCACGCTCAGTATACAGCGGTGCCACGCCTTCTCCAACCTCCTTCACATATCAACGTATGGCACACACCAATGACAGCCGCCGGATACGAACACTGCGTTCTGTCTGAACCCTGCCCACTAAACGGCGAAGACAACAGGATACTATGGAATGGTGCAATGCAGCACCGTGACTTAACTGAAGTATTAGTCACAACCTCTAGGATCTTTTAACATCTTTTTGTGATGTTATAGCGTAAGCATCCATCCCCCCCCCCCGTTTGATAATAAAACTAGAGCTTGAACTAGAAAGCGGTACCGCTTGGAGTGCCATCGCGGTCATAGTAGAATTAATCTGCTCGTTACAATTTAGATGACTGCCTGTGGTGCAGAGAACATGTCAGCGTACATCCGGCATTCTTCTCAGATGTCTCTCGGGAAATCCTTGATAGTAGCGAATAAGTATCGGCATAAATTTCCTATAAAAAGGTACTGCCGTATTTGACGTATTCCCAGCTTTTAGAACAATGCTACGTGTCATGCTATAACGAATATCAGACTAGCTTGAGTTATGCACAGTCAGCAAGTGACGCATTGGGTGCGGACACTGAGCATTAAAAGTAAAAGGCATAACTCGCTTTCCCATTACATGAAATTAAATTTACAGTGAAAATCTTCATTTTGGCTTTACGTTACGGCTGGCGTCTATTACTGTCACCTTATGTGTACGAATTCTAACGCTGAGCCAGCAGGTGAAGACCTTCCATTCAAGTCCAGCGTCTTCATATAGGGTCGAGAACGCACTCGAAAGGGCGCCCTTACAACAGCAGTCTCAGGCAGGACTAGTCAAGCAGACGAACTTCGCGCATCTGGCGCCGATTACGCCAGCGCCTGCTGCGATGCCCGCAGCTGTATCCCTTGCTGCAGTAATTTTTAGAGCAGCTATTTCTGATGGCGTCCTAAATGCAGCTCCACGGGCGCTCA